AGTAATGTTGACACTGGGACTCTGGGGAGGCCAATCCATCACTTCTACCCAGATATGCTTTTACTGCACTGGCAGTGTGTTTGGGACCATTGTCATGGTGTCACTGGGACCATTTCTGATGGGCCTTCAGCTGAAAGGCCAGATGCATCTGTCGAGTCATGCGTTAGGTCTTTGCTGGGTTTTTTCTTATTTCTTAAGAGTACGACTTACAGATAGTGTTTATCTGCTGTAGATGGTTTTTAGGCCTGAAATCTCTTCTTTTGTCTTCCACTTGTTCACTTTCCTCAATTTTTTAAGCACACACTGAGAAAACCATGTGAAGATGAGCCAAGTTTTCTGCTAGTAGCTCTTTGGGGCTCACAATACTGATGCAAAAATACTACTTTATGCCTCCACTATGGCGTTTATTTGTATATCCAACTAAAAAAAAAAGCTGCACATAACAAAGTGCCTAAAGATAAATTTTAAATGGGATGTTTGCAGGCACCTTTCACGTTAGGTACTTTTTTCATGCTTGAATCACTCATGGTTCAGTGTTAATTGACTTAAAAAAAAAAAACGTTAAAATGACTGGGCTGAAAATTAAAAGCAACCAATGTCCAAAGAAGAACTTAAGAACCTTCAGAAATTTTGTAGAACTATGGCTACACTTTAGAAAAAAACACATTAAAGTTTGGGTTCCTGGAAGAAAAATATAAAGTAATGGGTGATGGCTCAAGACTTTTACACCATGCATTTATGGTTTTAATATTAACTATGTCACTTTGGCTAACAGTATGGGAACAGAAGTGAAATGTATCAGTTCCTCATATAAGCTGGAACAATGGTTCCAAACTTAAATGGGTACAACAGTAACTTGGGCTAGTTTGGGCTCATGATGACAGTCATGTTCGTGTTTAGCTGGTGGAATTTTCCAGTTAGCAAAAAAACCCGCAAAGTAAGTAAATGAAAAAACCTGGACGCTGCAGCATATTTCATGTCAGTCCATCCAAGTAGCTGGCAAGTGAAGTGACAGATGTCTGACTCATAAAGGTAAAGTCGGACTAGTTGTTGAGATATTTCAGTCTGGAGTAAAGTGGGTGTTACTGCCAGAAATGGAAAACGAACCACATCCTTTACATTCCTTCTTCAGTCAGACCAAGAGGCCTAATAAAAACTGTAAAGTACTCAAACTGTAAGCATCATGAATCAGTAAAAACCAGGCAATAAAGTTATGTTTTTACATTCATAAAAGTAGCAGCATTGCAACAAACTTAAACACTATTTTATCCTGAAGTTCTGCATGATTTATTCATTTATTTTTTTTAGTAGTAAACTGCAAAACTGTTACATTGCAGTAGATTTTCAGTATTTGCAATATTCCCATGTTTCATAACTGTTGCACTATCCGGTGAGACGCGTCAGACGTTTATGTTGCAACTGATGTTATTTTCTAATACTGTGAGAATAATTTCACAGACCACTGACATCCTGTTTCTTTTGACCCAAATAAAATCATGTTACACCCCATAGACATCTAACTGCACACTCATGAGAGATCAAAGTTTCCGAAAATTAATAAAGCTTCTTATTCTGTATCTGTTTGCCAGAAAAGTTTCACCCATCTGGCTATTTGATAGTTATTTTCACTTCTTAGGTCAGGCTTATTTTGATAGAAGCTTATTTAAACCCTTACAACTAAGTTCACATATGTCCAGTGACATAAACAGCAACATATTTTGCCCTCTAGCTCAGGGGAGCCATGCCACAGAGAACACTGCACTCTCTGTTTATCAAGATTCCTAACGCCACCATAATAAGAGTCATGTGGATCTACTCTTCACAAGAGGAGCCTGGAGGGAAAAAACACATGCACATCTCTATTTTTTTTTTTTTAAAGGGTTCTCAATTGTAGATGGGATGTGCTGCTGACCCATTAAGACCAGGCTTTTGAGCATGTTGTGGAAAGAGGATACATTCTGACTCCAGTTGGCAAAAATCCGACCGGAGCCAACCGACAGCATCACAGCCATGGAGCCATTTGTTGCAGTTTGAATTTATGCAATGAAAGAAGTAAGTGAGCATGTCTACACCTTTTCAGTTTTATTCACACAAGGTTTTAAGATTGTCACTACAGCCTGTAGGTGATGATCTTACTGTGTGTGATATTTAAATATATAGATTTAGAGTTGCCTTAACATGAGCTATCTTGTTTCTTAGAAATTTAATCTAGGGTGAGTCAGCGCTTGACTTACTTTTGTCAGTGTGCTGCTCAGTTTGATCCACTGATATAACTGTTGTCTAAGATTTGACAGGAGGAAGCTGTTTTGTGCATGACACAATATAATTTACCATAGAACTAGTTCTGTGAGGTTGATTTGCATCAAAGGTGATATAAGTTATTTATTTATTTATTTATTTATTTATTCTGACTCTTCTATAGGTGGAAAATAAAAATGTATAAACACGAATCTCTTCTGAAGAGCAATGAAGCACAACAAGTTGTCACTGTCACAAAAACATCTGTGTCTTTTGCAATAACCAGCATCATAATTTGTAAGCAATTCTTTCTGATATTCCTACATTTTTTTTTCTGTCTTCCTTTAAATGTGCTGCTCCGAAATTTGATAGATTACACCCTCTTTTCTTTTATCTCTTTCTCCATTTCAAAGGTTTTATTATGCTTCACTTCTGTCCGAGTCAACTCAGAGCACAGCTCGGGACAACCCCCAACATTAAACACATTGTGGTCGGGAGGTGTTACACTTACACCACACTAGTTAACCCCAGCTTAAGGTAAATGTGGACTCATCTGTTGTCATGTCATAACATTTCCCGTCTTGATTGGGAATCAGTTTGCAGATTTGTCATAAATTCACAACTTATCTGTGATTTGAGTCAAGCCCCAGAGCTTGAAAGATCTGATTTGCTCCTAAAGGCCAGAGCAAAAGAGTTTGGGCTGTCACCGACAGCACATTATGAGGCTAGCGCTCAAGTACAAATGAAGGGAAGTTTTGATGTGGCGTTCAATAAATGATGTTCAGTGAGTTCCTTTCTTTTTATCGGTTTGACTTTTCTAGAAAGGATGAAAGAAGCTGAGACAAGGCCATATACGTGCTTTGCAAAGAAATTTCATGGGAATTTCTAATATGTTTCACTGCTTACTTAAAGTATACAAAAAAACAATCGCTATTGAGGCTGTTCATGGCAGATTTAAAAGGCTGAGGCACATGGATTACACTTTAGCAGTGTAAAGCACTGTTACTGAATTTTTGTTT